TCCCTTTTGTGGCTCCTCCCTCCGCCTCGGCGGTTCTCCTTCCGGTGGGGCGGGAGTAGTCGCGCAGGGCCTCATGGGGCTTGTAGTTCCAACATCCAAGCCGGTGGTTTTCGCCGTGTGTCCATGTCGCGTGACCCCCCCCCCCCCCGCGCCTCTGAACTGCAAAGGCTGCGGGAGGCGTTGAGCCCGCAGGCGTCACGGCTGCGGTTCCTGAGGAGGCAGGTCGGGGACCGCAGTGGCCGGCGTGCCTCTGTCTCACTGTCCCGCGGTGCCAGGTTGGTGTCTCCGCCGGCTCCTCTCCGTGATCCCGGAGCAGCGTGACAGCAGGACAGCCACCGGGTGGGCGTAGGCGCAAGTGGCTGCATGCGTGGGCCCCGCGCGTGTCCGTGAGGCCCGCCGGGGACCTGCGGGACCAGGCCGCCTCCTCCTGCCCTTCCTGGGGTGTATGGGAGTCGGAGGTGATAAGGTCAGAACGCGGGGGCTTCATTTTACGGATGGTTTTAGGATAGCAAATTCTTCATTTGCTAAGCGACTGTTTCAGGAAGAAGTGCCCAGGATGCTGGCATTCTGCATTGCGTTCTTTATTACGAGATAATGGTTTGCTGGCGTTTTTGCAGCTCCAGAATTTTCTTTTATCATATAGTCGTGTGGTTTTAATAAAGTCTACTCTTGTTTGTGGCCAAGGTTGGTAGGGGGTGGGGCAGAGGGAATGGGAGGAGGGAGCGGAAACTCTGGTGGGATGTAAAATAGATTAATTAGTTAAATTTAAAAATGAGTTCTCTTTTAGAACATTCTTGTTTTTTTTAAAGATTTATTTTTAGTTTATGTGTGTTTGCTTGCATGTATGTATGTGCACCTCAGAACTGAACCACACATGGAGGTGCTGGGACCTGAATGAGAAAGTGCTCTAACTACCGAGCCTCTCCAGCCCTCAGGACCAGATTTTATTTTTCTATGTAACGTTAACTGTCCTGGAAACTTGATGGATCGTCTAGACTAGCCTCAAACCTGCACAGACCCTCTATGCTTTCCCCTCAAGTCAGGAGGCTGTGCTCGCCCTGCCTGGCCTCTACTGCAATACGTTTAACGGCTCACATAAAGCACTCATCATTTTATAGATTGTAGATCAGAAATAAAGCTATGTGAAAGTCATGGTGTTGGGGCTGGAGAGATGACTCAGTAAAGAGCATTGACTGTTCTTCCGGAGGACCCGGGTTCAATTCCCAGCACCCACGCAGCTCACAACTCTCTGTAACTCCAGCTCCAGGAGTTCTGATACCCTCACACAGACATACATGCAGGCAAAATACCAATGAACATGAAATACAAATAAATTTTAAAAAATTCAGGGTGTCAGAAAGAACAGCAGCCCAAGGCCGCCTGCCTCTCTTGGCTGTTGGCGTCTTTCACCTTGCACTCAATCATTCCCTCTACTTAAAACTTCTCATAAATACCCCTGTGGAGATCTCCACCTCCATCTTGATTTCTGTGTCTCAAGGCTAATTCAATCCACTTGCAAAATTCCTTCTAAAGTAAGGTCTCAAAGGTTTCCAGGATTAGAACGGGTGGGGGGCATTTTTGGGAGTCCATTTCTATAAAAGTGGGGGTGGAGAGCTAGAGAGATGGTTCACTGGTTTAGGGGACCCTGGTACCCACATTGCAATTTAGCTTCAGTCCCAGGGGATCTGATACCCTCTTCCTGGCTTCCAAGGGTACCAGGCATGAGTATGGCACCCAGACATACATGCTGGCAAAAAACCCTTATACATTAAGCCACTGTGTAGGTGCTGGGAATCAAACTCAGGTCCTCTGCAAGAACAGTCGGTTGCTCTTAACCATGGAGCTATTGCTATGACCCCTTAAAGGGTGTTTTTTTTTTTTTTTTTTTTGGTCACGCAGAGTGGTTCACACCTTTAATCCCAGGATTTGGGATGTAGAGGTAGGAGAATCTCTGAGTCTACATAGTAAGTTCTAGGACAGCCATAGCTACACAGTGAGACCATCTCGAAAATTTTCTTAAATTACACTTAGTAATTTGTGCATGCAGGTAAAGGTATGTATATCAGTGTGTAGAAGTTTAGAGGACAACCTGTGGGAATTGGTTATAAGACTCAGCTCATCAGACTGGGTAGCAAGTATTTTTCCCCATTGGTGAGCTGGGGTTTGAGACAGGGTTTTTCTATACACCTCTGGTTGTCCTGGAACTTGCTATATAGACCAGGCTGTCAAACTCACAGAGACCTGCTTGTCTCTGCCTGCCACATGCCACAATTAAGGACTGCACCACCATGCCTGCTGGCTTACAATTCAACCTTTTTCTCTTTATTATTTTCATTGGTCTTTTGCCTCTATGTATGTTTGTGTGTATGTGTGTGGCGGGCGGGTATTAGATCCCCTGGAACTGGAGTTAGACAATTGTGAGCTACCATGTGAGTGCTGGGAATTGAATGAACCTCTGAGGCATCTCTGCGGCCCTACCATATGACTTTTTATTTTCTTTTATTTTTACTAATTTATTTACTTTTTTTTTGAGCCAAATGTCTCTGTAGCTTTGGAGCCTGTTCTGGAACTCAGTCTGGCCTTGAACTCAGAGATTCACCTGCCCCTTCCTCCCAAGTACAGAGATTAAAGGCTTGTACCACCACCACCACTATCCGGACCAGTTGACTTATTTTTTTTAAAAATATTTATTATGTATACAATATTCTGTGTATATGCCTAAAGGTCAGAAGAGGGCACCAGACCTCATTACAGATGGTTGTGAGCCACCATGTGGTTGCTGGGAATTGAACTCAGGACCTTTGGAAGAGCAGGCAATCCTCTTAACCACTGAGCCATCTTTCCAGCCCCCATTTGACTTTTTAAAAGTGACTTTTCTGCTGTTTCTACTGAACCATTTACCTTAGCTGCCACTATCCTCTTTTGGAAAAACAAAAGCCGTAAGGAAAATGGTACCTTACTCATGGTAATCCTGCAGTCTCAGCACTTTTTGCGTGTATTCCAGAGGGTTGGGATTGTAGGCATGAGCAGCCACGCATAGATATCAACAGCCAAGTTGGTCTCTAACTCACTATGTTAGAGACCTTTCGAGTGCTGGGATTGCACACATCTCCATTCAGGTGTCTTTAGAGTCTATCCAGACGATTCTGTGGCATTCTATAAGACACTCTTAACAGAGAGCCTGGGGAATGGCATGTGGAAAGATTATTCTCTGTCACCCTTCTACTGTTTGGAGTTTCCCCTGTATTACTGGTTCAACTTCAACTTTAAGGAAGAGAAGGGATTTATTTCAGCGTGTCCAGGATAAGGTGCCCTCTCTTTTTTCCACAGTGTTGTCGCAAGAGAAGATGGGAAAGGGCTGCAAGGTTGTCGTCTGTGGGTTGTTGTCTGTTGGGAAAACTGCCATTCTGGAGCAACTCCTTTATGGGAATCATACTATCGGTAAGATCATCCTTCTTCGTTTCTCTCTAGATCTGGAACTGGTGCAGGACACGTGTTGGTCACGCTAAGTGGTGTAAAGGAGACCGAGTAGGGACAAGGAAATTGGGTTTTGTTGAAGTCCAGCAGTGCTTCTGCGGGTTATCTAGCAGGTCAGAAACAAGTGGCAGGCAGGCATGGATAATATGAAAACGGGCGCTGTGCGCCTGCATCAGAAGGGTCTAGGAACCCTCGGGTCTCTGCGGTAGCAACGCAGATACCATTCTTCAGTCACAGTGGTCTAGTGCTGTATAGGCTTAAAAATGAAAAAATGGTGTTTGCTACAGTGTGACCCAATTTAGTAACCTGGGACTATCTCATTTATTCCTTCGATGAGCAGTTTCCTGTTTTATCATACTGTATATGACAATGCTTTACAGATCTGCAGAGGTGAAGATAATGTTTCTGGCTTAAGTGAGGCCATGATTTTGGTAGAGAAGTTAAATGAACTTAGGTTTATGTAAAAGATAGTAAATACAGATCTTTAAAGCATTTCTTTCTTGGTACATAGCTTAGAGCACTTTTTTTTTTTTTTTTTTTTTTTTTTTGGTTTTTCGAGACAGGGTTTCTCTGTGGTTTTGGAGCCTGTCCTGGAACTAGCTCTTGTAGACCAGGCTGGTCTCAGACTCAGAGATCCGCCTGCTCTGCCTCCTGAGTGCTGTGATAAAAGGCGTGCGCCACCACCGCCCGGCTCTTAGAGCACATTTTTATCTTTTATTAACTATTTTGATGACTTTGTTTTTTTCTTGAGACAGGTTTCTCTGTAACCTTGCCTGTCCTGGAACTTGCCATTAGACCAGGCTGGCCTCAAACCCAAGAGATCCGCCTGTCTCTGCCTCCTTGAGTGCTGGGATTAAAGATGTGTGCCACCACTGCCCGGTTTTTTATTGCCATTTTTATATAGAAGATAAAAATTTACATTTTTTGTAGACCTAATGCTAGGCTAATTCTAATAAGGCCAAAAGAAAGTTTTTGTTTGAGACAAGGTGTCATGTAGCTCAAGCTGGCCTCAGATTCCTACAAGTTGAGGCTGACGTTGAACTACTGGTCCTCCTGTTTACACCACCCAAGTGCTGGATTTATAAGTGTGTCACCCCAATGACCTATAAGAAGAAACCTTTTTTTTTTTTTTTTTTGAGGCTGGAAGTCACTGTAGACCAGGCTAACCTTGAAATCACAGAGATCCCCATACCTCTGCCTCCCAAGTACTAGGATTAAAAGTGTGCACCACCATGTCTGGCAGAAAAAATGGTTTTTAAAAAGTATGTGTTTGTTTTGGTGGGTCGACGGGGCACACGTGTCTCTGAAAAGATTAAAGGATGACCCTGTGGAGTCAGTTCTAGCTTTAGTAGGTCCCGGGAATTGAACTCAGGTCACTATGCTTGAGAGCCATCTTGATGGTCCAAAAAATACACTTTTGGATGAATAACTACTTTTCACTTTGAAGAAATCAGTAAAGTAGAAATGTGATAATTGCATATGGAGACCTAGAAAGCCAGCTCCGTGGGAAAGGGAGCTGGTGAATAACTGACCCTGGTGCCTTCTAATGCAGGCATGGAGGACTGCGAGACCATGGAAGACGTGTACATGGCCTCAGTGGAGACAGACCGCGGGGTGAAGGAGCAGCTCCACTTATATGACACGCGAGGCCTGCAGGAAGGCGTGGAACTACCAAAGCATTACTTCTCTTTCGCTGACGGCTTTGTTCTTGTGTACAGTGTGAATAACCTGGAGTCCTTTCAAAGGGTGGAGCTTCTGAAGAAGGAAATCGATAAATTCAAAGACAAGAAAGAGGTGAGTGGCTATTTCAGATCTGTTAGAATTGTAGGGTAGGGTGCACACATTTAGAAATCAGTTGTATTAGCAGTATCTGCAGACACAGGGTGTGGGGACTGGCTGAGCCCACAGTGCAAGCATCACTTTCTGCCTTTTTCTGGGTTACACTGTCCAAGGTACTTTCCTCGCTTCCCAGCTCAGGCCCTACGTAGCTTAGTCATGTGTGCCATCACTGCTTCTTAGTCATGTGTGCCATCACTGCTTCTTAGTCATGTGTGCCATCACTGCTTCTTCAGGCTTTTAGGATGTCTGTGGCAAAATCGGGCTCTTGTCATTTAACACCCCCCCCCCCAAAGCTAATAACTAGTCATCAGCTCCCACCTATTTGCCACTTTCCTTCTGCCTGGAATTCTCTAACCACTGCATACATAGCAAATAAATAAATCTCAAAAAGAGGAAAAGGAAAAAAAGAAATAATAAACCTAAACCTTTAAAAAAAGGTATACAGACTGTCTGTATGCACTCAGGAAAAAGTGAGGTGATGCCTTCTCTTATTTCTCTCATACCTAAGGACACCAGTACCAGCTTAGTGCTGGATTAATCTGGCCTCATGCTTACTAGTTAAATTCTCTACGTCCCCAGTCTTTTAGTTTTTAAACTTTGTTTTTGGCAGGGTCTAACTAAGTTGCCCTTTGAACTTTCAATCCTCCTGCCTCAACTCCAGAGCAGCTGAGATTACTGGCTCTGTCATTTAAGTAAAGCAGTCTGCCAAGTGGAGGAGCAATCCTTGTTTGTCCCTTTCGCAGTGTCCCAGCGTGGTCTTCCCATCATTTTCCCTCAGGTGGCAATTGTCGTGCTGGGAAACAAAATCGACCTCTCCGAGCAGAGACAAGTAGACGCTGAAGTGGCACAGCGGTGGGCGAAAAGCGAGAAGGTGAAGCTGTGGGAGGTGACGGTGACAGACCGGAGGACGCTGATCGAGCCCTTCACTTTACTAGCCAGCAAGCTCTCCCAGCCCCAGAGCAAATCCAGCTTCCCTTTGCCCGGCAGGAAGAACAAAGGGAACTCCAATTCTGAAAACTGAGTCAGATCTTGAAATGTCTGTAGCATGGCACAGTTATGATGTAACATGGCTCTTTACAAAACCACCTCCGGGCTTAAGTGGTAATTCAATGCACTTTACACTATAATTAACTTATTGGGCTTATTTATTACTGTTAGACATATTTTATCTTTGTTATTTATGTTGTACTTGTCATTAATAGTAAAATAAAATATGGAATGTATGTGATGTTCCATGGGAACCTTCCAGCCTGTCAGGAACTGTCATAGTCATTGTAATTTCATGCAGATTCCTCACTGTGAACATAATTTCAAAAAGGCTTATTCCTGTATGTCTAGGATATGTGTGTGCAGCCAACTTTCTTCCATCTATGCCTAAGTTCCAGAGGCTGCTGGACTTGCATGGCAAGCACCCTTTCAGTAGCGAAGGTTGAATAGGACTGGAAAGATTGGTCAGTAGTTAAGACTGATGCTCTTGCAGAAGACCCAGGTTCAATTGCTAGTACCTACACAGTGGCTCACAACCACCAGTAACTGATTCCACGGGATCCAGTGTCCTCTTTTGGCTTCTTTAGGTACCGCATGCACAGAGAGGAAATGAACACAGCCGGGTCAGGGTTGTTCTTAATATTGTTTATTAGCACAGTAACAAATGCAGACGTAAGAAGTCTAAAACACATAACCAGTCCACTGAGCAGTTCCTATTTCACACCTACAGTTAACAGCTTAAGGTATTTCACTACAGGGTTCCACAAATCCTGATTCAACCTTTAAAGTAACTTGCATATGAAATAAAATACATTAACTACTCGTTTCCTACATGGTGTCTCATAGCCAGGTGTCCATTTTACATGTACGAGGTAACAATCTCTACAAACTGTTAAATACCATTGTTTTCCTCTAAGAAGGAAAAACAAATTCCAACTTTTTAAAAGAAGAAAGTAGGACTTTGCATCAATGGCCAAGTGTGTAACCTATACAAATGTAAGCTCATTTAGAAATTACAGTAGACTACACTCAATGAAACCCAAGTGTCTACACGCGCATTCTTTCCTGTTGTACTAAAAGTAAGCTAATCTCGCAAAACTGACAGCTCTAAAAGTCACTATTACCAATTTGTCTACTGTAGCAAGATACCTTAAGTTACAACAAAATCTTAGGAAGTAAGACTGAATAATATCTGTTATAGAAATACCCTACTCTTTTCCAATTCCCACCCTCCCCCACCCTTTCAAAATCATAAGCAGCTCTCTTCTGTGACAGACAGATAATGTAAGAACTGAAAACCCAGTTTATGTAGCGTATCTCTTGGTCCACTGTCTGGCCATTCTGTCGTGTTCTGCTCTGTTGGTCATGTACTGAGTGGCAATACTTCCCACCAAAGGGTCAGCTGAAAGAAAAAGGTGTAGACACTTTAGATAGAAACATACAGCAAACAGTTATGACCATGCCCTATGCCTGAAACACTCACCAGGGGGTTTTCTTCTAATTGTTAAAAAACAAATTTAAAAAGATTTGTTTTATGTGTATGGATACACTCTGCCTGCATGCTGTAGATGTGGGCCAAGCAGGGTCTGGGAATTGAACCTGGTATCTCTGCAAGAATAACTGTTCTTAACAGATGGGCCATTTTTCCAGCCCCATCTTCTAATTTTAATATACAGTAAAACAAGGGAGGATGGGAGGAGTCTTGCTAAAAAATGGAGTTGCCTGGCTATATTTTCTTATTCTTTTCTCTCCCAACAAGTAACACTCCTGTTCTTCATGTATATGACCAAACTTACAAGTCTGGACATCCAGAGCTCCAGGACCAGCTCTGCTCACCGATTAGAGCACTGTGGATGCTGTGAAGTCTTTGTGCCCAGTGCAATGGACACTATCTACTGTACTCTGTATATATTGTACTCTGTATCCTGGAGAAGGCCAAAGCCCAGACCTCCAAATAGATGTGCTTCTCTGAAAATGGAATGCCTAATAAATTTGTATGTGAAAGCAGAAAAATAATTTCTTTTTATTTTAAAATGATTAGTCCCAGTAAGATTACAATTCTGCAATCACCACATACTTGGCAGAAAAATAACACTTTCAAAAGTGAGAACTGTCTGTGGAGCAAGTGCTCACTGAACCACTACCCAAACAGGGAGGCAACAGAGCCACCCACCCACCCAGCCTCAGTGCTAACTTAGAATAGTTGCTTTTTCAACTAGTGGGTTAAATTCTCAATTAAAATGTCCTTTGAAAACTTGGGTCTTAGTTTATGTGGAAGACAAGTACCTTTTCATTTAGTAAAAAGCAAAGCACCAAAGATGATCAGCCTTACCAGGATTGCAGTCTGTAAGGAGTGAGCAGATAGAGAGGAGAACTTTCGAGATGGTTAGTGCTGGGCTCCAGTTGTCTTTCAATATGTCCAAGCAAATAACTCCTTGACTATTAATATTACAGTGATAAATTCTTGTACGAAATGTAACCTAAAAATAAGGTTATTGTCAAAGAGCATTCAGGTAGGAGACTTTGTACTGTATTTCAGCTGACTAATCCCTAAGATGTATAAGACTTGGCTGTAAGGCTACAGAGCTTGCTCACGCCATTTCCTTTCATTTTAAGGCAATGACAATTGCTAAAGGCAAAGGGAGTCCAACACTTACTCTATTCTTTTTCTTTCTTGCTTTTTTTCAAGACATGGTTTCTCTGTGTAACAGCCTTGGCTGTTCTGGAACTCACTCTGTAGACCAGGCTGGCCTCGAACTCAGAGATCTGCCTGCCTCTGCTGGGATTAAAGGTGTGTGTCAACACCGTCAAGCAGGGTTTTTCTTTTCTTGATCAGGCTAAGCTCATACTATGTATCCCAGACGAACTGCAAATGTTTGATCCTCCTGCCTGCTGCCATTTCCAGAGTGTTGGGATGACACGTTTAATTTTAATGCTTTAAATATGAGTATTTCTAAGTTTGGATTGTTAGTTGTTTGCTGACCTCTTGTGTTAGCTGGTAGTAATACACTGCTTTTGAGTAAGCTACACATCTTATAAGACTGACTATAAACAGCACAGGTTTTCAGCACGTACCCCTAGACATGCCTATTGCCAACTGAGGAGCCAATCAGCATTCACCACATTCACTAAAACCAGTAAACACTGCACACCCAAGAAGCTCAGATCTGGGCCGTACCTAAATCAGTTCCTACTTTACAAAAATGGAGTGCCCATGGGTAAGGAGGACACCAACACAAACATTTTTAAAAGTTTTAGTGTATCTTTTACAGAAACAGTCAAATCTGGGAATATGTAGATTTCTTACCTTTGGAGGCTTGAAGGGATACTCTGGTGTAAAAGTTATATCGAGGAAGAACACACCACCTTCATACACAGATCCCGGGGGCCCGAGAATGGTTGATCTCCACTCATAGATGTTGTCGCCTTTGGGACCAGCACTGAAAAATAACACCACCAGCAGATAAAGGACAGTGACACTGTCTCAGAAAAGAGCCCCCCCCCCCCCCATCCTTTTGGTTTAATGTCTGGATTCTCTTCATAAAGACTGTGGTATAAACTCATCATCCATCAGAAAGTAAACCATGACAGAATAACATCTGGTCCATGCTAAGCTTACTAGTTATAACCAGACATACTTTCAACTCTCAAACATCTTTACATGTAAGGTAACAGCAATTAAAGATGTGTCTTGGAAGCTAAGTTAGTGATCTCAAGAAACCCAGAACAAGCCTCACTCACTCAGTATGTGTGTCTCCTCCTAGCACTTCTCATCCCTCCCTTCCCTAAGCCCCTCCCTCCCAGGGGCTGGGCTTCCGCTTCCCTTTCCAGGCTCCTCTACATTGTAACTCAGCTGTTCTGACTATGGGCTCTAGGTTCACGAACTCTATTGGCTTTTCTGGTTTCTCTCTCGGTTCGCTTGCCCTTGTCTCTCTTCTTTCTCATCTCCCTCCACTCCTGGGCATGGCCCTGTTGGTCTGCTGGCCAGCTTCAGTCTGGACTCTCCCAGATGCTTCTGCCTGTTCTTCCCTTCTTCCTACAATAAAGCCTTCTCTTCAACCACGCCTAGAACAGATCATGTCCTCATCTGTCATCCAGTGACCAGTTTTCTCAGAGCTGCACCATCTCTTGTAACTATCGCTAGTGCCAAGAGTCTCATTTTCTGACTCACAGACTGACTCTTCCTTGTGCTCTTTCTCCATAATCTTCGCCCTACTAAAGTGCTTGGCAGAGTTTAGCCAGGCTAACCTATTAGTGAACTCCAGATTGAGAGAAAGACATACACGGTTGACTTCTAGTCTCCACACGCACATTTATGGACATGTACACACACACACACACACACACACACACACACACACACACACTATTGCTTTAGCCAACAGATTTCTAAGCTCCTCCACTTTTGGTCCCCCAAGACAGAGTGGCCCAGGCTGGCTTAGAAGTCATGATCCTCTTGACTCAGCTCCCACAAATGCTGGGTCATCTGTAATCCCAACTTGTTGACTAGACTTTTTACTTTATAAACTAATGTGAATGAGAAAGGAGAATGTCAAGTGTGTAATCAGTTTTCACTTTAGTGACACTTGAATAAGCCATTAACCAAACCCTATTCTTGTTAAATATGTTTGGTTATACCCTCATTTGGCTAGAGTATCTTTCTTAAACATTGCATTGGCTTCCAGAGTGCTTTGTATCCAAGCACCTTAACAAAAGTAGTAAAGCTTCCCCTCTAATTATAAGATCTATGAAGAGTGTAATACAACCTACATCAGTAAGGAAATTACTATGGCAAGGACAAGAGTTGGGAAACAGTACATTCTGCATTGCAGCCAGATGGCACCAGAGCAGACAAAACTATTCCTCTCGATCCCCAGACAGATTTCTCTGTGTAGCTTCTCTGACTATCCTCAAACTCAGGGATCCTCCTGCCTCTGCCTCCTGACTGCTACAATTAAAGGCGTGTGCCACCACCTGGCTCAAAACTGCTCTTCTTACTACACCAGATTTGCTCAAAATCTCAATGAATGCTTACACACAGGGCAGAGTGTCAAATGTCCATGTTTGGGGGCTGAACAAGACAAATGTCCTCAAAAAACTTCTGTTAACTAATTCAAAGCCAGTCCCCTCCCCCCAGGGGACAGAGATAAAGTAGAAAGGAAAGGGAGCAGAAGACCAGTTGTAGAATACTCCTTAAACCTAAACACACATTTTCTTCCTCCTGTTTGACTCAAAGTTAGGATGAGAGAAGGAAGAAAATAACATGACGAGAACAAGCTGGGGGTGAAAACATTTAACACTAGTGACGCTGGGACTGTAAAATATGGGCCTGATCAAACTGGGGTCACCATGTGTAGCAGGAGCCCAGTCACAGCCCTGAACACTTACTCTGTAACCCTGAGCAAGTCACTAAGCCAGTTCAAGCTCTCCTCAGACTCAGCAGCATTCAGGAATGAAAGGAACTGAGGGCAACCCAAGACTGGCTCCCGGGCTTCACTGAAGGTGACGGTCACCATTAGTGATAACTGGCTCAGACAGTACAGCCTTTAAAACCTTTTAGTGGTGGATATGCCCAAGGACTCAAAGCCAGTGTGGTGGATTATAATCCTCCTTAGGCTAAGGCAGGAGGCTAGCATGGGCTGGAGACTTGCTTTAGGTTAGATACCAACAGAAAGTCACTCATCTATGCATACACAGAATTGATATCATTTTCACAAGGTGGGGTGCAGGGAAAGACTTTTTTTAAATTCTTTTTTATTGCTTTACAAATAATACCATTCAAACTTTCCACCTCCTTCCCTGTTGAGGGAGCTGAGCGGCTGTGTTCCTGCCATCCAGCTCCCGGCCGCCTGGCTAGCTTATGCCCCAAAATAACGACACACAAACTGTATTCATATAAACACTGCTTGGCCCATTTCTATTAATGTGTGTAGCACCACAAGGTGCGCTTACCAGGAAGATTCTAGCCTACGTCCATCGGGGTCGGAGCTTCATCACGTCTGCCCCAGAGAGGAGAGCTAAGGCGTATGAGCTCACTTCCTCTTCCCCCCAGCATTCTGTTCTGTTTATTCCACCTACCTAATTTTCTGTCCTATCAGGGCCAAGGCAGTTTCTTTATTTAACCAATGACCTTCCTCCATCACTTCCTTCCTCCCCCAATTACCCTCCTCTTTCCCCCTCCAGTCCTAAGAGAGGGCAGGGTACCCTGCTCTGTGGGAAGTCCAAGGCCCTCCCAGGGAAAGACTTTAAAAAAAAAAAAACTATGTATTTCTACTTATGTATATGTGTCTGAGTGTGTGTGTACACACGCACACGCATGTACACACACACAAGCCTTTAGGTCAGCAGAGGGCATGGGATCCCCTGGAGCTGGGGGTTCTCTGTAGGAGCATCAAGTGCTCTGGCCTGCCGAACCACCTTTCCAGCTGCACCAGTTGTCTCCTAAAAACATGCTACGACCCCTGGGGTAAGGGTGTTAATTTTACTTCATCTCCTGAGTACAGAATGGGTTCTAAGTCATAAAAAGCTAACATGTTTGTGTCTCCTACTTAACCTCCAGTGGAATGGTACCTAGGGGGTTGGACCCTTGGCCAGTTAGGTCAAGAATGTGGAAGTCGTTCTATATGAGCTAAAACAGACCCCGAGGCAGTGCCACAAGACAGCTGTCTGCAAACTAAGAAATAATCTCTTACCATACTAAACCACCAGCACTTAGGTCTTGGGTTTCTTATGTGCCAAACTAACAGGAAAGCTAAGCCCTTTAAAGTTTAATCAACACTATTCCAAATCGTCTTCTAAGAATATTCGCTGTCACAGTGACAACATGGCTCAGCAGGGAAAGATGCTTGCTGCTAAGCCTGACAACCTGAGTTCACTCCATAGAACTAACTTTCCACACACGTGTAGACCAGGCTGTCCATGAACCTGGAGATCCAGCCCCCTCTGCCTCCAGAGTGCTGGGATTAAAGGCATGTGCCACCACAGTTAACATTTTAACTTTTTTTAAAAAGTAAAAATACTAGGCTGGAGCCAGGCTATGGTGGCACACGCCTTTAATCCCAGCACTCGGGAGGCAGAGGCAGGCGGATCTCTGTGAGTTCAAGGCTGGTCTGGTCTATAGCATGAGCTCCAGGACAGGCAGACCTGTTACACAGAGAAACCCTGTCTCAAAAAAACAAAATCAAAACAAACAAACAAAAAAACCCCTAATCATCAGGAGTCATACTTTTAAAAATATCTGGCTTGATAATACTAAGAAGTCAACCTAGAAAGCAGTAAGAGGGCCAGTACCCTAGAATTGACATTGCCTCTTAAAAACAGAGCTTAGCAACATGCAGACTCTAAATGCAACTGATGGTCTCAAACTTGACTGAACATCAGAATAAAACATGGAGCTAAAGGTTCCTTAGCTCCCTTGGCCGGCCGTACTGTACTGAGTATGTAAATGATGCTCCAGTTACCCATATGGAGACACACCTGCTTCTTCTCCTATAGGAGGTTCACAAGTGGACTTAAGTACAGGTCACTGGAAGTTGAGCCTGGACCCTACAGTCTACCACCTGGGACACAACTAGAAACGGAATTAAGACTGTTCCTTTGTAAGCTTGAGAAAGATGTAGAGAAAGAGTTACAAATCCAGGAATCAATACAAACAGTTTTGTGCAAAGAAAAAGCTGTGTTGCACCATTGTGTTATATTTCAAAAAATGAAGACTAAAGGCGGGCCATATATCCAAAGCTGCACAAGGAAAAGGTCTGTTCACACCCTCCCTCCAGTCCTCTTTCCTGAAACAGTATCACTGTGTTGTCTGGGCTGATCGCACTTTCATGGTGACTCTCCTGCCAAGGCCTCCAAACGCTGGCATGATAGATATGTGCCATTGCACCCAGCTGCCCGTCCATTTTCGGCCAAAATGGCTGAGCAGGTTTACACTAAGGCAGCATCTCCACTGAGTCAACAATGATCCCAAGGTGCATGTGACCCCATGGCACATGCTCACCTCATTAATGGTACATTGCTGACTATAGTTATTTATTTAAATATTTATTGGTTTTCAAGACAGAGTTTTTCTGTGTAACAGCCTTGGCTGTTCTGGAACTCACTCTGTAGACCAGACTGGCCTTGAACTCACAGAGATCTGCCTGCATCTGCAGGGATTAAAGGCATGCGCCACTACCACCCCCACCCGACTGCTGAATTCTTAAAACTACCATTGGCAGTAACTTCTGTCCAACACATGTGGCTTAAAGAGAATTTAAGTCATTTATGATACAAGCCTAAAAGCAAGCAAGCAAGCAAGCAAGCAAGCAAGCAAGCAAGCAAGCAAACTGTTGGACAAGGACAAAAAAGCCCTGCCCACGGGAGCAGTCCTAGTAGGACCCGATGTGATGCACTCGCTGGATTGACCCAAACTTGTGCAGTATAAAATTTCCACAAGAAA